CCTGCCCGACAGTGCAGGGCCACCATGCTCACAGGGGACTGGCAGCCTACTGCACGGCCAGATGGCCTCCACTGCCTCCAGCGGTCAGAGCCAGGGAGCGCCTCTCCAGACACCTCACTCTAGGGTCATTCTAACAGCCCCAAGGGAGAGGGGGTGGGGAAAACAGAGTGGATGGAGGCACATGCAGGACTTATCCCTCCATCCCTTCCTGGCTTCAGCTTTCAACCATGTCCAACAAGAATGGAGGCCAGAACCAGCAGAACAGGCATATTCAAAACTCGGGCTTGTTGTTACTTTGAGCACATGAGTCATCTAGAAAGGAAGCCTTGCGTTTGTGCCTCCCTCCAGGTGGAAGCCTTCCTGCAGTGAGACCCCAGTGGTACCCTGCATTTATGATAACTTCAATGACCGATTAACCCTCAAGACGACTTGCCTAGCCCAGAAGTCCACGGCTAGCTGCAGTGAGCCTTTGAAAAAACTTTTTTAAATGTTTAAAGGTGGTCCAAACACAAGCTATACTCTATTTAATATTAATGAATGATCTCTCCCATTCCCAAATTGTGGTCATCCCTCAGCAACCCAAGGGGCATGGAGTCCAGGACCCCTGCCGACAGCAGACTCTGCAGGTGCCCAGGGCCCTTACATAAAACGGCACTGTATTTGCGTACCCTAAATCATCTCCAGGTGATTTACAATCCCTGGAACGCGTGCACGCCCTGCGAATACTGGCACCGCGTCCTGTGGAGGGAATCTTGAGAGGCCTAAGCTAGAGGCACAGCATTCCAAGGAACAAGAGCCGCCTTGCTGCTCTTCTCCCAGACGAGCCCCTGAGAACGCGTCCCGTCTGTGACATGCAGGTGTTCAATGTGCCCCGCGGGGGCAAGGCAGCCCTTAGCCCATTCACTTACACATGAACTGTAGCTGCTTCTGCCACACAATGGCTCGAACTCGTTAAATATTTCAAGACCATATGGGCAACGACACAGAAATTCAAGCATTTACTGCCTAGCCTTGAAGAAGATTGCTGGTCCCAATTCTTAGGGAAGGGATACCGTAGAGAACATCAAAGAGTCCTGTATTTAAATTCCATTCCCATAATCACTAGAAGAAATTACCTTGTATTTCTGGGCCTCGATTTTCTCATGTGTAAAATGAGCAGAGTTCCATAGACTACATGAGGTAAGACCAATAAAATGTTTCACACACAGTAAGCAAGAAATAAATGGAGCTATTAAACTGCAATTAATACTACATATAAATTTGCCTACCTATTAAGAAATACTCAAATGTACAATTGTTCACACTCTAGCTGATTATCTCAAAGTCAGGCATTGTCCCAGCATTCCTCTGCCTTCCTTCCCTGCGAAGAACTAACACCAGCTTACAGCCTTGCTTTCGGAAAGCCATCACTACAGCCCCCTTTCTCCTCTTAGCATCTCATTTGCCCTTAATTGTCTAAAAACAAAAACAAACAAACAACAACAACAAAACAAGAAGCCAATCTCTAAAACTTCCTTAGTACAAAGTTAATCCTTCCAATCTATACTATGAAAGTCAAAGAAAGCATAAGATGAAACTTAGAGCCTGAGGTCTTGCTAAATAATTACTAAAAAAGAAACAGGTTGTGGGGAGACAACAGGACAGCAGGCATCTGGCCCAGAGGTTACACACACCTCTGGATGCCCGCATCTCCTACGGTGTCCAGGCTGGTCTCCACGCCCCTCTCACCTCCTCCTGCAGTGTCCGAGCTGGTCTCCACGCCCCTCTCACCTCCTCCTGCAGTGCCCGAGCTGGTCTCCACGCCCCTCTCACCCAGCTTCTCAGCTCCTCCTGCAGTGTCCAGGCTGGTCTCCATGCCCCTCTCATCTCCTCCTGCAGTGTCCAGGCTGGTCTCCATGCCCCTCTCACCCAGCTTCTCATCTCCTCCTGCAGAGTCTGGGCTGGTGTCTACTCCCCTCTCATCTCCTCCTGCAGTGTCTGGACTGGTGTCTACTCCCCTCTCATCCAGCTTCTCATCTCCCTCTGCAGTGTCTGGGCTGGTGTCTACTCCCCTCTCATCAGGCTTCTCATCTCCTCCTGCAGAGTCTGGGCTGGTGTCTACTCCCCACTCACCCAGCTTCCTGTTAATGCACCATGTGGGAGGCAGGAAGTGGTAGCTCAAATAGTTGTGTCCCTGTTCAGGCACCTGCTTCAGCTGGGCCCCGACCAGCTGCTGTGGGCATCTGGGGACTGAACCAAGAGATAACTGGCAGATGAACAGAGAGAGAGGGAGAGGGAGTCCTCTGTCACTCTGCCTTTCAAATAAACAAAAATTTTAAAAAAAGGGAAAGTGGGTGATAAAAGCTAAGCTTGCTGATTTCAGGGAAGCAGACAGCAGCACCTGCCAAGCAGGCTGTCTTGAGCTCACCTGGAGCCCTTCACCAGGGGCTGCTCGGTTCCGCAAGACACAGCCTCACCATGCTCGGTTCCACAAGACACAGCCTCTCCATGCTGAGATGCTCAGCGGAAGCACCCCAAGCACTTAGCTACCGTTACACCTGCAGCTCACAGACAGTTCACTACGGGAGCAAACCCTGTCTTCCTGGTATTCCTTCACTCCAAGCTGTCATTGCTCACGGTCAGGTACCATTTCTTCCTCTGCAACCTTGCAGCTGCTCTTCTGAAAAAACCACCCAACCCTCAAAACCCTGATTCCCTCTAGGAAGTGCTACTTCCTTCCCATTCTGTGTTCCTATAGGACTCTGCACATCCAAGACTGCACAGGTCATGAAGAAATGTAACCATCTGCCTATCCATCAACCTCCGCCATTCCCACGACAGAACAGCCACTACCATCCAAGTACTTCCTAAGTGACAGACTCTCTCTTTTTTTTAATTTATTTTATTTTTATTGGAAAGGCGGATATACAGAGAGAGGAGAGACACAGAGGAAGATCTTCTGTCTGATGATTCACTCCCCAGGCGGCCGCAACGGCTGGAGCTGAGCCAATCCGAAGCCAGGAGCCTCTTCCGGGTCTCCCACGTGGGTGCAGGGTCCCAAAGCTTTGGGCTGTCCTCGACTGTTTTTCCAGGCCACAGGCAGGGAGCTGGAAGGGAAGCGGGGCTGCCGGGATTAGAACCGGCGCCCATGTGGGATCCCGGGCGTGCAAGGCGAGGACCTTAACCACTGCGCCATCGCACCGGGCCCTGACAGACTCTTAAGTCACCATAACCCAGTTCTCCCGACATACAGATAGGCAAATGATGCATTCACTGAATATCATCAGCTTCCTCCTTCCTGTTCAAATGCTCACCCCTCCTTCCCATGGAGCTGGTTCACTGAAGGGTGGGGTGCGGAACCCCTCCTTAAGGTCACAGATGAAGTGGGCGCTACAGGATAAAGGCGACTGTGGATGCCCAGTCCATCTGACGTGCTGCAACAGTACAAAAACCACTCAGATCACTGTGATATAATCCAAAGTTTGCTGGGAGTTTCAGAGAAAGGCTTCCTTCCGAGTAAAAGAAACAAACAGACATTCGCCTTCCTGGTCAAGCCCTGAATTCCTATTGGGCTTATCTGAGAACAAGGCATCCTCACAGTAACTCTAACTTAACCAAGTGTGTTTTCAGCTATTATCAGCAAGAAACATCCTCATATGCACACAGGAAAAGATGAGGAATGTGATTCAAACACAGACAAGGCGAACCAGCATGATGGCTTGCCTAGCTAATCTTCCACCTGCAAGTGCCACGTTCCATATGGATGCCAGTTCATGTCCCAGCTGCTCCATTTCCCATCCAGCTCCCTGCTTATAGCCTAGGAAAGCAGCAGAGGACAGCCCAAGTCCTTGGGACCCTGCACCACATCAGAGACCTGAAAGAAGCTCCTGGAACCTAACTTCAGACTGGCTTAGCTCTGTCCACTTCTCTCCTCTCTGTAAATCTGCCTCTCCAATAAAAAATAAATCTTAGAAAAACAAAAAAAAAAAACAGACAAGCTAACTTCACAGCCCTTCAAAATGCACCAGCTACACTCATTCTATCACCTTTCATGCCTTGAACACTTATACAGCCCAGAAATGCTCAGACATTCAAAGCATTTGCTAACTTGAACTTAAAGAACATACACATGAATGAAGCAGAATTTTGGCCCAGCTTTAAGTGAATTATGAGGCCCCTACATAAAACACCTTTAGTGAGTATAAAGTGTGAGTGCCCTCAGATGACACTCAGGTTGACTATATCTGCAAAACACAGCTAACAAAGGAGCCCTGTAAGCAGCAGTTTCTGAGAACAAGCTCAGAAGACTGACTCAACAAGAAAGCCGGGAGGCCTTAACAACGTCCACAGCAAGTCTCACTGGCCACGACACTGCCCACACTTCCAGCTCGACCTTGACCTGCACAGCCACCAGGAGGCATGTAGAGAAAGTGAGCACAACTCTGCAACACTTACAGACCCACTCCATTTTTAATTCAAGAAAGAGCCGTCTTTAAATCACAAAACGGCTCAGTCAGGCCACAGGCCCCTGCCCCCTGTCCCCAGGAAGACCTTACTCCTCAGGGCACAAAGGCTCACCTCTCTGCCACTGCCCGTGGCCAGGGGAGTCCTTGACCAGCCGGCTGGCTGACCTCAGAAGAGCATGCTGAGGGTGCAACACTGCACACGTTCCATTGCCAACGTGACAATCGCATGCCACAGTGACAATCACGGACAGTCACTCACCAGGAGTCAGGGCCGGCTCACCACAAGACACAACACAACCCTGAACTGCAGGTTGCAGATGCTTATCAGCTCCTCCTAGCTACTCTGTCACGTGGCATCCCCAAGTACTTGACGGGAGGGGCTGCTTTTTTTAAATCCCTAACATAAACCAAAGAAAACTCCATATGCTCTGGAATAAAATGCCCAAGGAGCCAAAAGCCAAACCAATGAGTGAGTGGAAGCCATGGAATCAAGCTGAAAGTTCATGAAGAAAGCTGTAAGAATCAGTTTACATTCGACAAGGCAACTCAGCTTACCTTGTAATTGCTAGAGTTCACCCAAGAGGTAGCAAGTCCATCCACAAGCTTATCTAACATGGTCTGGTCATGCTCAAGGTCAGCAGACTTCTGCTTGTCTGAGAAGTAGTCTATAAGTTCTTGGCCGACCTGCAGCCGTTTGCCCACATCCTTCTGCAGCACCTGAGCCAGGCAGGACTCCATGCGAGGCTCCATGGTGAAACTCAAATCCAGATCCAGCAAAGGCTAGAGGGCAGTCAGGACGCCTCCCTCCCAGGACCGGATCCGGGAGGCCGCCTCTTTGTTCGCTGAGGGTTCCAAGGAGCCTGTGTTTCAAAGATGCAATCCCGGGAATGGCAACAATGCACCATGTGTGTCTGAAAAGCAGCTGGCAGGATATTAAAAGTCCAATTTAAATAACTAGCAGGAGATACAGGAGTGAGTGGCAGAGTGACGGTCTTCTACTACTGGGTTTGAAATACTTCATAATTCAGCAGTCCATTCTGAAAAGCAAATGGAAGAGAATGACAAATCAGCACAGAAAACACAACACTCCAACGTCATAAAACAGTAAAGCAAAGACAAGGCAAGGCCTGCTGCCAAGCCGAGTGACACACAGAAATGCTTGGCAACCAGACTGGAATAACATAATAATTATTTTTATCAGGAAGAACACTGAAGCCCAAAGAAAATGGCCAATAAGCTACACTGCTGGTGGGCTGACGCTTTTCATACCTTCCCAACACCAAGCAGCACAGCCATCTTTTGGTTTCACTAGCATGGTTACTTGCAACTTCACTTTTGCTTCCCTCCACTCTATCTGACCCGTTGCAGGCTTGCAGCTTACTGCTCCCTCAGCCTTCTGAACACCCAAGCACTACAAATGGAGCCGAGGGCACAGAGACAGCACGGAGCAGAGCGGCCGGCTGCACCGGCACGCACCACAGTTCTTGCTCAGCAGCCGCACGGTGGAGAAGGATGATGTCCCTGTCACACTTCAAAATCACGTTTGCATAGGGCAAAACACACGGTAAGGGAACAATCCAATTTTTATGCAGACAAGCTGTACGAGCTGCCCAGGTGACCTCTACAGTGCCAGAGCCAGTGCACACAACTACATCTCACTTCAGTGCTTTCGAAAGCCAGGGAGCAACACCTCTCATTCGGAACGAAGACCCCAGAAAACCTTTCCTCATGACCCAGGACCTCCTTCATACCGAAGTCAACAGTAGTCTTCAAAACAATAAATCTCAACTTTAACAGCTTTTTAAAAAAACATACTATTTTTACTTGACTTGTAGATTTACAGAGACAAAAAGGAGAGTCAGAGAAATCTTCCAACTGATGGTTCCCTCCCCGAACAGTCCCAATGGCCAGAGCTGGACCAGTCCAAAGCTAGGAGCCTGAAGCTGCTTCTGAGTCCCCCATATGGATGCAGAGCCTTGGGCCATCCTCCACCGCTTTCCCAGAACACAAGTGAAGCAGCTGGGAATTAAACTAATCCCATAAGGGATGCAGACACCTCAGGTAGACAATCAATCTACAATGCTATGGCACCAGTCCCTATAAGGGTTTATGCTGGAGTGCCTGAGCTCAAAGCCAAGCTCCACCTCCAATTCCAACTTCCTACTAAAGCAGACCTTGGGAAACAGCAATGATGGCTCAGGGACCTGAGTCCTCCCACATCCCATGGAGACAGCAATGATGGCTCAGGGACCCGAGTCCTCCCACATCCCATGGAGACAGCAATGATGGCTCAGGGACCCGAGTCCTCCCCACATCCCATGGAGAAGCCTAAACTGACTTCCTGCTTGCCTGCCTCAGCCTGCTCCAGTTGAAACTGTTACAGGACTTGGGGAGAGAACAGTGTCTGTAAGATAGATATCTTTCTCTCTCTCCCTCCCTTCTTCTCTTTCTCTGTCTCTCTCCCTGTTTCTTCTCCCTCTCTCTTTTTCCTTTTCCCCCCCTGCCTTTTAGATAAAATGAAATTTTAGAAAGAAAATGTTTTAAGATTTATTTATTTGAGGGGCTGGCATAATAGCTTAGCAGTATAATCTCTGCCTGTGGCACCAGCATTCTATATAGTTTTCCGTTCACATTCTGCCTGTTCCACTTCCCATCCAGCTCCCTACTTGTGGCCTGGGAGAGCAGCAGAGGACAGCCCAAAGCCTTGGCCCCTGCACCCACACGGGAGGCTGAGACACTTCTGGACCCCAATTTTCAAACAGCCCAGCTCTGGCCATAGCAGCCATTTGGGGAGGGAACAAGGAGATGAAAGAGCTCGCACTCTCTGTCTTCCCTCTGTGTGTATGTAATTCTTTCAAGTAAAATAAATATTTAAAAAAGAAAAGAAAAATTACAGGTTCCTTACACCCCATATCCTGACCAGACTTTCCACCTAGGAACAAAAGAAGCAGACCTGAAGTCACCCTGTAAGCTAGTTACCTATGCCCGAGCTAAATACAAACCAAGACAGAATGGAGGGCCGGGCAGCGTGGCCTAGTGGCTAAGATCCTCGCCTTGAAAGCACTGGGATCCTATATTGGCGCTGATTCTAATCCCGGCTGCTCCACTTTCCTTCCAGCTCCCTGCCTGTGGCCTGGGAAAGCAGTTGAGGACAGCCCAAAGCTTTGGGACCTTGCATCTGTGTGGGAGACCTGACTTTCCAATAAAAATAAAATAAATCTTTAAAAAAACAAAAACGACAGAATGGAAGGCACCTGTGCACAGAAGTAAAGAGGATTCATGCTTGCCCCCAGCCAGCTTGCAGACAGCTGCACGGCCTGCTTTAAACACCCCATCAGCTCTGGAACAGTCATCCAGAACAGCAGTGTGACAGCAGGAGCTACTCAAAAGGCAACGCCATTTCTTTTTTTTTTTTTAAGATTTATTTTTATTATGTTTTTATTGGAAAGGCGGATATACAGAGAGGAGAGACAGAGAGGAAGATCTTCCGTCTGATGATTCACTCCCCAAGTGAGCACAACGGTCGATGCTATGCCAATCTGAACCCAGGAGCCTCTTCTGGGTCTCCCACGCGGGTGTAGAGTCCCAAAGCTTTGGGCTGTCCTCGACTGCTTTCCCGGGCCACAGGCAGGGAGCTGGAAGGGAAGCGGGGCTGCTGGGATAGAACCGGCGCCTATATGGGATCCCGGGCGTGCAAGGCGAGGACCTTTAACCACTTGCACCACCGCGCCAGGCCCAAACACCATTTCTTTAAAAACAAACAAACAAACAAACAAGATTTATTTCTTTTTATTGGAAAGACATATTTACAGAGAGAAGGAAAGACAAAGAGAAAGATCTTCCATCTAATGGTTCACTCCCCAAGTGGTCACAAAGGCCAGAGCTGAGTGATCCCAAGCCAGGAGCCAGGAGCTTCTTCCAGTTTTCCCATGCGGGTGTAGGGTCCCAAGGCTTTGGGCTGTCCTGTACTGCTTCCCAAGCCACCGGCAGGAAGCTGGATGGGAAGTCGAACAGCCAGGACTGCGTACGTGAAAAAAATCAATACACATATGAAGAAATGCCAATTAAACTCACAGGAGATCTCTCAGAGGAAACTCTACAGGACAGAAAAGAATAGAGCGACATATTTCAAGTTCTAACAGCAAAAAACTGTCGGCCCAGGATCACACACCCCGCAAAGCTTTCCTTTGTCTTTGAAAATGAAATAAAATTCTTCCACAGTAAAGAAAAGACTATGCCTTTTCAAACCTTCCCTACAAAGGATGCTTCAATATGTTCTCTTGACAGAGAAGAGGAATAGCACCCACCAAAACCTAAGATAAACGGGAAGAACATCCCAGTAAAATAATAACAGAACACTAAACCAATGAACAACCCATTGCTAAAATGACAGGATCGAATTACCACCATTCATATTAACCCTGACTGTAAATGGTTTAAACTCATCAATCAAATGTCACAGATTAGTAGACTGTGTTAAAAAAATAAAATCCAAGGAAACTATATGGAAAAAATAATAGTGTTACCCACTTTCCTGTAGCCCTTGAACCTTTTTACCCTAAATTAACTATGTAAAGATTGTCAATAAAAATAAAATAAAATAAAATCCATCTATTTGTTGCTACAGAATACATATCTCACCGTACAAAGATCAGCAGAATCTCATGGATTTTGGTTTTTATTTTTAGTTTCATTTCTTCAAATTTTTTCTCATTAAATTTTTCAATGACTCATAGATCATAAAGTAGTATCATTTTCTTCAAGAGGGTTCTTGATTTTCATTTCTTCAGCAACACATTAGTCATTCAGTAGCATGTTATTTAACTTCATGGTGCTATTAATTTCTTTTTTTCCTTCCTGTTGTTGATTTTTGTTTTGTGGCTTTTCATTTAAGGGAATGTACAGTAACCGTGTAAGAGACTATCATATCCAGTAGCATTTTATCTAACTTCATGGTGTTTTAAATTTCTATTTTTCTTCCTCTTGTTGATTTTGTATTGTGGCTTTTCACTTAAGGGGATGTATAGTAATTGTGTAGTGGAGACTATCATATCCAGATGTGAGGATACAATGCAGTATGCATCTCTACTTCCAGATCAAAGATGGACTCCCTATATCTTGACAATAGGATGCTGGACTCCCTGCCATTGTCCATGCCCACAATGATGGGCATATGACTGTATAAGAAGAACTATACTATAGTAATAATGTAGGGGAACTCAGTGGAAGGGGGCAGGGAACTTGGGGAGGGGGTAAGGGAAATCCCAGGGTCTATGGAACTATATCATGAAATGATAATAATAATTTTTAAAAGAACTAAAATAAAAAATAAAAACAAATGCACACTGAAGGGTATGAGACATAAGAAGTATAGAACTGGAGCTGGTTTTGTGGTGCAGCCCATTAGGCCACCATCGGCAAACCCGGCGTCCAATCTACAGCACTGGTCCAAGTCTGCTGCCCGGCTGCAAACCCGGGTCCCAGGAAATGGACTGAGAAAGCAGCAGATTGACGGCTGCAGGGCCTGGCCCCAGTCACCTCTGCGCAACACCTGAATGAAGTTTCAAGCTCCTGGCTTTGGCCATTTGCAGAGTGACCAGGTAAATGGAAGATCTCTCTCTCTTTCCATCTCCCTCCCTCCCTCTCTCCATCCCACCCTTCCTCCCTCCCCATTCCATCCCTCTCTCTGTCGCTATGCCTTTCAAATAAATAAATCACAATTTTTAAAAAGTGGAAAGCACAAATAGTTCACTGTCTTCCCTGAAGAAGGCTCCCAGAAAACCAGGCACAAGGCAGGGGCGATGCTTTAAAAGCCAATTTCAGGGGCAGAAATTGCAGACGTTGTTCACACTAAATCAAACAGACCAATACGACAGCCTTTTCTGCATGCAGCCTTTCATATATATTTTTCAGAACTGTATATTTTTATTGGAAAGGTAGATTTACAGAGAGAATGAGAAACAGAGAGAACAATCTACCATCCACTGGCTCACACCCCAAATGGACACAACAACTAGAACTGAGCAATCAAAAGCCA